AAATCCGCCATGAATCATGCCTCAAACATGTGCCACTTTCAGGTCTCCTCACACACTGCTGGTGTGTTCCATTTTTTGTCATAGGGTGCTGGCAGATTACGGGCCCTCCCATAGCTGCTGCCAGGCCCCTAATCTGCCATGGGCCCCTATACCGCCTCCTCATCCAGGCCCCTAATCTGCCATGGGCCCCTATATACCGCCTCCTCATGCTGCTGCCAAGTCCAGAGTCTGTCATGGGTCCCTGTACGGCCTCCCATTTCTGCTGTCTCCATCGCCACACTCTGCCATGTGCCACTTTCAGGTCTCCTCACACTGCTGGTGTGTTGAATTTTTTGACATAGGGTGCTGGCAGATTACGGGCCTCCCATAGCTGCTGCCAGGCCCCTGATCTGCCATGGGCCCCTATACCGCCTCCTCATGCTGCTGCCAGGTCCACAGTCTGTCATGCCATGTGCCACTTTCAGGTCTCCTCACACTGCTGGTGTGTTGAATTTTTTGACATAGGGTGCTGGCAGATTACGGGCCTCCCATAGCTGCTGCCAGGCCCCTAATCTGCCATGGGCCCCTATATACCGCCTCCTCATGCTGCTGCCAGGTCCAGAGTCTGTCATGGGTCCCTGTACGGCCTCCCATTGCTGTCTCCATCGCCACACTCTGCCATGTGCCACTTTCAGGTCTCCTCACACACTGCTGGTGTGTTGAATTTTTTGACATAGGGTGCTGGCAGATTACGGGCCTCCCATAGCTGCTGCCAGGCCCCTAATCTGCCATGTGCCCCTGTACCCTCCCTCCTCATGCTGCTGCCAGGTCCACAGTGTCTCATGCCATGTGCCACTTTCAGGTCTCCTCACACACTGCTGGTGTGTTGAATTTTTCACATAGGGTGCTGGCAGATTACAGGCCTCCCATAGCTGCTGCCAGGCCCCTAATCTGCCATGGGCCCCTATATACCCGCCTCCTCATGCTGCTGCCAAGTCCAGAGTCTCTCATGGGTCCCTGTACGGCCTCCCATTGCTGCTGTCTCCATCGCCACACTCTGCCATGTGCCACTTTCAGGTCTCCTCACACACTGCTGGTGTGTTGAATTTTTTGACATAGGGTGCTGGCAGATTACGGGCCTCCCATAGCTGCTGCCAGGCCCCTAATCTGCCATGGGCCCCTATATACCGCCTCCTCATGCTGCTGCCAAGTCCAGAGTCTCTCATGGGTCCCTGTACCGCCTCCCATTGCTGCTGTCTCCATCGCCACACTCTGCCATGTGCCACTTTCAGGTCTCCTCACACACTGCTGGTGTGTTTGAATTTTTTGACATAGGGTGCTGGCAGATTACGGGCCTCCCATAGCTGCTGCCAGGCCCCTAATCTGCCATGGGCCCCTATATACCGCCTCCTCATGCTGCTGCCAAGTCCAGAGTCTGTCATGGGTCCCTGTACGGCCTCCCATTGCTGCTGTCTCCATCGCCACACTCTGCCATGTGCCACATTCAGGTCTCTTCACACTGCTGGTGTGTTGAATTTTTTGACATAGGGTGCTGGCAGATTACGGGCCTCCCATAGCTGCTGCCAGGCCCCTAATCTGCCATGTGCCCCTGTACCGCCTCCTCATGCTGCTGCCAGGTCCACAGTGTCTCATGCCATGTGCCACTTTCAGGTCTCCTCACACTGCTGGTGTGTTGAATTTTTTGACATAGGGTGCTGGCAGATTACGGGCCTCCTATAGCTGCTGCCAGGCCCCTAATCTGCCATGGGCCCCTATACCGCCTCCTCATGCTGCTGCCAGGTCCAGAGTCTCTCATGGGTCCCTGTACGGCCTCCCATTGCTGCTGTCTCCATCGCCACACTCTGCCATGTGCCACTTTCAGGTCTCCTCACACACTGCTGGTGTGTTGAATTTTTTGACATAGGGTGCTGGCAGATTACGGGCCTCCCATTGCTGCTGCCAGGCCCGTAATCTGCCATGGGCCCCCGTACCGACTCCTCATGCTGTGACGTTGCAACAAGGTGGAATTCAACCTACATATGTTAGACCGCCTTTACGAACAGCAAAAGGCCATCACAGATTTCCTGATGTTAAAAGCGGATAAAGGTACTCCCTGTGTAACTTAGATGTCAGCCATTGGCAGCTCATGCGTGACACCTGCGCTTGCTCAGGCCCTTTGAGGAGGCCACGCTATTCGTGAGTCGGCAGGACTATGGGATGAACGACGTCATTCCTCTGTTGCACGTCCTGGAACAAATGCTGTTAATAATGGCTGGTCAGGGTGCGGTAGACGTGGCGCACAGATCTCAACGCCACATGACCCCTGTGGGGGCAGGACAGGAAGAAGAGGAGGAGGTAGAGGAGGACATTGGTGCTCAGGAATTATTGAGTGAAATGGGTGGTTTTTTCCACTCAGCGGACAGGAGTGGAGGAGCAGGAGCATCTGGTAGAGGAGGAGGAAGAGGAGACAGAGGACCCAGACGCACCGTGGCAGTATGCTGTGGAGATGGAGGCAGGGAGTCCCTCGCATTCCTTGGACAAATGGCCCATAGCATGCTCGCTTGCTTGCGTAGCGACAGCCGAATAATAACCATCAGACAGAGGGATGACTTTTGGCTGTCCACCTTGTTGGACCCTCGCTACCGTTCCAAAATGGTGGCCTTTTTCACACCTGCTGAGAGGGAGGCCAAAATAACGTACTATAAAAACCACCTATGTAGTCAGCTGGTCTCTGCCTGTCTGCGCCAACGTCCATCCTCAGACACTGTGGGCCCTGTGCGCTCGCGTTACGCTGCCATGGCAGCAGGGGAGGGGTGGGGTGGTAGGAGCAGTGGCAGCTCCACCAGCAGCAGCTGCCTCAGTCTGCAGTCGATGATGAGTAGCTTTCTTCACCAGCGCAGTGAGGAAACTAATACCACCAGCAGCAGCAGCAGCAGCAGCATCAGGTGGACCTGGAGCAGGACCTCAAACAACAGGCTTAGGCCTACTTGGACAGCACCCTGCCAACCGAGGTAGACAATCCCCTTGACTACTGGGCAACGAAACTTGACCTTTGGCCCCAACTAGCTGAATTTGCCCTTGAAAGGCTGTCATGCCCGGCCAGTAGCGTGGCATCGGAGCGCGTGTTTAGTGCGGCAGGAGGTATTGCAACTCCGCGGAGGACACGACTGTCCACCCAAAGTGTGGAGAGACTCACGTTTGTGAAAATGAATCAGGCGTGGATTAGTCTGGATTTCAAACCACCAGTTCCTGACACAACTGACTAAATCCGCCATGAATCATGCCCCAAACATGTGCCACTTTCAGGTCTCCTCACACTGCTGGTGTGTTCCATTTTTTGTCATAGGGTGCTGGCAGATTACGGGCCTCCCATAGCTGCTGCCAGGCCCCTAATCTGCCATGGGCCCCTATACCGCCTCCTCATGCTGCTGCCAAGTCCAGAGTCTCTCATGGGTCCCTGTACGGCCTCCCATTGCTGCTGTCTCCATCGCCACACTCTGCCATGTGCCACTTTCAGGTCTCCTCACACTGCTGGTGTGTTGAATTTTTTGACATAGGGTGCTGGCAGATTACGGGCCTCCCATAGCTGCTGCCAGGCCCCTAATCTGCCATGGGCCCCTATACCGCCTCCTCATGCTGCTGCCAGGTCCAGAGTCTCTCATGGGTCCCTGTACGGCCTCCCATTGCTGCTGTCTCCATCGCCACACTCTGCCATGTGCCACTTTCAGGTCTCCTCACACACTGCTGGTGTGTTGAATTTTTTTGTCATAGGGTGCTGGCAGATTACGGGCCTCCTATAGCTGCTGCCAGGCCCCTAATCTGCCATGGGCCCCTATACCGCCTCCTCATGCTGCTGCCAGGTCCAGAGTCTCTCATGGGTCCCTGTACGGCCTCCCATTGCTGCTGTCTCCATCGCCACACTCTGCCATGTGCCACTTTCAGGTCTCCTCACACACTGCTGGTGTGTTCCATTTTTTGTCATAGGGTGCTGACAGATTACGGGCCTCCCATTGCTGCTGCCAGGCCTGTAATCTGCCATGGGCCCCCGTACCGCCTGGTCACGCTGCTGCTGGGTCCACAGTGTGACATGGGTCCCTGTACCGCCTCCCATTGCTCCCACTCTGCCATGTGCCACTTTGAGGTCTCCTCACACTCCTGCTGTTTTCCATTTTGTCATAGGTTGCTGGCAGATTACAGGCCTCCCATAGGTGCTGCCAGGCCCCAAATCTGCCATGGGCCCCCGTACCGCCTCGTCACGCTGCTGCTGGGTCCACAGTGTGACATGGGTCCCTGTACCGCCTCCCATTGCTCCCACTCTGCCATGTGCCACTTTGAGGTCTCCTCACACTCCTGCTGGTTTCCATTTTGTCATAGGTTGCTGTATGGCCTCCCATTGCTGCTGCCTCCACCGCCACACTGTGGCTCCAAACACTGGTTTTGGCCCCGTGACTGGCCAAATGAGTGAAGTGTGCGGTGATTCTAAGATCGACGGCACTCATCTGCATGTCATACTGACTGACAGTATTATTTCTCTTCCCCAGCAGACTCCAAGGGCATTTAAATTAAAGGTACAGTGTTCTGCACTAATATTAAGTCTCTCTGAAGCCTAGAAACACCCTTTTTTAAGTTAAATTCACAGCGAATATATTCGACTCGAATCGAATATTGTCCACGAATTCGCCGAATCAGTCGAATCGAATTTTTGAATAATTCGCTCATCTCTAATTATGATCAAGTGATTTATGGGGTGATCTCATTGGTAGGAGTATTTATAGAGGTTAGCTGCACTGGCTATATACAGGCTCCCAAAGAAGGACTCCGAAAACACATTAAGTCCACCTGTGAACTGTAATTGGAATCTTTGTACATTGTGAACCCCCATGTGGAGAGTAATTTATAATGTTGTGTAATAGATTTTTAATGGTACATAATAAAGTTGTTTTTGCGGCACTCAGTTTCTCTTCCATATGTCCACATAAAGTCCATGACTACATATTCTGTTCTTAGTTAAATATAAAGCCTTTACCCTTAATGCTTTCACAACATTAAGGTAAAAAAGTCCAAGTATTTTATTAACCCCCTTTTACCTAACACTTACCTGCTGTCCTTGTCACAGCCACCAGATCTGGGATCCATCAGCATTGCTCCCCAAATTTCCTGGGCTCTAGCAGACACTAAGAGCATTGGTACAATAGGCTCCTGCTGAAATCAGTCAAATTGCTGGGAGGAGGATACAGGGGCATGGTTTGCTGGCACTGGGTGTATTTATGGATACACACAGCTCAACCTAATGAATGGCCATGCACTGGGTGTCTCCTTAGCACACAGCTTGCTGAGGAGACACCCACATACAGGAAGCTGGGTACAGTGGCCTTGGGACCCCTGGATGCAGGAAGAAAGGGACATTTCAGAGAAGGAAGACTACACATAATATGTATGTGTAGCCCCCTCTTCTAAAATTAGGTTAAAAAGAAATTAAAAAAGAGACTTTTCAGGTGCTACTAGTGAATATACACTCACTGGCCATTAAGTGCCAAGCAAATATCCCGCACACCATTACACCACCACCAGCAGCCTGAACTGTTGATACAAGGCAGGATCTATATATGCTTTCATGTTGTTTATGCCAAATTTTGACCCTATTGTTGCCTTGCTATCATCTCAAACCAGTCTGCCTATTCTCCAACCTATGTACCAATCCATGGATAAGAAGCTTATTTTACTTCTTTTTCTTTTTCTTAAAATAACTACATGATAAAAACTTAGAACAACTGATATTACAAAATTCAAGAAATACAAGAAAATTTTCCACATTTAATATTCTTAACCACTTCAATAGCGGGCGCTTTCACCCCCTTCCTGCCCAGGCCACTTTTCAGCTTTCAGTGCTGTCACACTTTAAATGACAATTGCACGGTCATACAACGCTATACCCAAACTAAATTGTTATAATTTTGTTCACACAAATAGAGCTTTCTTTTGGTGATATTTAATCACCACTCTATTTTTATTTTTTGCTAAATGTTTCAAACATTTTCAAATAAGTAAATATTATTCTTCACTGATAAGGCTGCACTGATGGGAACTGATGAGGCTGCACTGATGGTCACTGATAGCCACTGATGAGGCAGTACTGATGGGCACCAATGGGCACCAATGAGATGGCACTGATCGGTACTGATAAGCTGCACTGATGGGCACTGATGAAGATGCTCTGATGAGACTGCACTAATAAAGCGGCATTGATGGGCACTGATAGGTGGCACTGTTATGCTGCACTGATGGGAACTGTTATGCTGCACTGATAGACATGGCTTGGCACTCATGGGGCTGCACTGATATGTTGCATTGATAGACACTGATGGGGCTGCACTGATCATCAGGGCCGGTTATCGGCTTTCCTTTCCTCAGACAGTGACAGTGCTGAGATAAGGAACTGCCATTAACCCTTTACCCTGATGGGGTATCTGAGGGACACAGTTTACCACTGATCGCCGTGCTGCGCACATACGGCATGACCGGAAAGACATCATATACAGTGGCATGAAAAGCCTGCCCGGCTGTCAATCTGCTATTGGCCGGGCTGAATTAGTTAAAAGATAAGTTCACTCTTACATTTTTTTGCAGGTAACAAAATATGCATTTATTATTTTTTTGTTAAGAACCTGTAAAGCATTGCACCCACAGTAAGCAGATCGTGGGTGTAATGCCACGGTCCTGCAGACTGTCTGTGTATCTGTCTGCCCATACCTCTGATACGGACAGGCAGTTATGCTCTGACAGGAAACCTAATGAACTACCTGGAGTGCTCAACAACACCATGATAGTTCATTGAGAACTGCAAGCTGACAGCTGCAAAGGCTGTTGGGACTTTTAGTTTTTCCATTCACAGAACACTTTGAATGGATGACATGGGCAGA